GTTGTTGTTTATTATAACTGTTGTTATTTATTCTAACTGTTGTTGTTAATCCTAACTGTTGTTATTTATTATAACTGTTGTTATTTATTCTAACTGTTGTTGTTAATCCTAACTGTTGTTATTTATTATAACTGTTGTTAGTGCAGGAAACTTTGGACTGCAGCTCTGAGACCTGGATTCAGAAACCTTCAGTTCCAGAGAGAACGAGGTCTCTTGTCTTAAATGAACCGCAGCAGAAAAACTGTGGTTTCAATCAGAAAATGTTTCGTGTTAAACGGGGCCTTAAGGAGCTGCAGTTCCCCTTAATTTTCAAGCTGGACAAACACAGGAACCGATACTGTGCCTCTCTCTCACGGAGGGTTTTGCGACCCCTCATTAGATGCTGAAACGCTAGCTGTCCCGCAGATCCATATCTTCCCTCGTCTCTTAAGAATCCCTCCCATCGCTCCATTTGGATGCTAATTCTCCGACATTTGCCCTTTCAGGTGCAAGGTTACCGAGTTGAGTAAAGGACATTAGAGTCCCGTTGCTTTCATGTTTCAGGAAGTTTTCCAAGAAGGTGTTTAGATGCTGAGAGAACACCAAACTTTCAGCTCTGACTGTTGCCAGGTAAAGCGTGGATGAGTAGAGCATCGGCCACCGTTTGATTTTCTTAACAAAAATCAAGAAACATAAGACTTTAGTCTTAAACACTGAGGCTCGGTGATAAAAAGCCCAGACGTGCTGCAGCTTAAAACAACAACGAGACTTTTGTAAAAAGGCCGGTCAGAACGCACATTTCACACGCCTGAGAAAGGAAGACGGGACAAAAGTGATATCTAATAACACAAGACTGGGAGAAACCCAATATTATTCACCGCTTCAGAACCAGAGCCCGACCCCCCCACCCGAGGACACTGGTGGCAGTGTACCAGGTTTTATCTGCAGCTGCCGTCACATTTTAAGTTGCGTCCGTTTGCTGGCGTTGGATGTTTGATGCATTTCGACCTGGATTAAAAAGGTGAAACTAAACAATGACTTTAGCTGCGTTTCTTTTTTTAAACGTCAAATAAGCCGTAAAGAGTTTCATAAAATAACAGGTCTTCACTTTAATATATGTATTTATAAAAGGAATAAACCTAATTAATCCTCGCACTGTGATGTAAAGTTAGCACAGCTCTGAACAACAAGCTTTATTATTAATTATTTAGCATTAGTAATAATTTAAAATAAGAAATATTGAGTGGGTATTGTTAATATTTTACCGATATTCCATACCACATTTATGATATTTTGAACTTCCTTCCTTTCTTGTTTGTTAATGTTGATTAGTTTAGAATTAATAGTGTGAATGTTTATGAAGCATTCAAACTATTGTCGTCCATTTTTCTTCCGTACGTTTTTCTGCATCTGTTTCATTCCACAATTTTTGTGCTATTTCAACAAAACATAAATCAAAACATTCTGCTAGATCAGGACAATCCTACTATGACTTTAGGTGTTGGTGCAACTTTAGCTTTTTGAAATATTTAGCATTTTCTGCCATTTTTTTTCCTCATAGAAAATGAATTGAATTCATTTTACATCGTTCAAATCTTTAGATCTGTTTACAACCTTTTACTGCTCCTTTCACATTTTATTCTGCTTTAGCTTCTTTCAGCTTCCTTCTGTAAATTTAAACGATTCAGCACGTTCAGCTAATTTCAGCTGTTTTGTGCCTCTTTCAGATTTTGTCTAACTAGAACATTTTTGTGCTTCTTCTAACTTCTTTCTGCTAATTTCAGCTTTATATACTCCTTTCAGCTTATTTCTGCAAATTTTAGTTGTTTTTTTTTACAATTTCACATACAATTTAGCTGTTTTATGCTCATTTTAGCTTTTCAGCTAATTCCACATTGTTACACTCATTTCAACTTTTTTCAGCCTAATTCAGCAAAATTGTGCTCTTCAGCTTCTTTCTGCTTTTTTTTTTTTTTTGCCACTTTTCAGCTGTTTTTCTTTTTTTGTCGTAATTTCAGCTTTTTTCCGATTTAAAAAAAAATTGTTCTCATTTCTGCTTTCAGTCTATTTGGACTAGAATGTGTTCTTTCTTCTTTTATCTGGTAATTTAAGTTTGTTCTACCTTTTCAGCTACATTTAAAAATAATAATTTTTAGCTAATTTTAGCAGTTTTAAGATAAATTCAAGTTTTCATGGTAATTTCTGCTACTTTCAGCCTAATTTACTTCAGCTTATTATGCTCTTTCAGATTTTTTTTGCTAGTTTCACCTTTTTTTGCTATTTAAGCTATACCATTTAGCTGTTTTCATGCTAATTTTAGCTTTTTCAGCTAATTGCATATATATTTGTTAGCTAATTTCAGCTCTATCTGCTTCCTTCCGATAAATTAAACTTCATTCTGCTTTTTCAGCTACTTTTCAGCTATTTTTTTTTACTAATCTAAGCTCTTTTAGCTAATTTCCTAATTTTTGTGCTCATTTCTGCTAACTTAAACCTCAGCAAATATGTGCTCTTCCTCCTTTATTCTGCTAATTTAGGCTTATTCTTCCATTTCTGCTACATTTCAGCATGCAAGTTCAGCTGGTTTTCAGCAAATTCTTCTGCAAGAATCATTCACACTGCATTTTCTCAGAAATGCAATTTCTCTATTTTCGTCCAATCGTTCCAAAACCGTGAGTTTTTATTCAATAATAGTTAAAAAACATCATAATATGTTGTTTTTTTTTACTCTCCCTGGACATTCAATGGAAGCTGGTCATTTAAAAGTCAATGTCTGAGCAGCACAGAGAGCTTTTGTAAAAAGGCCCACAATAGAGCTCTTAAAGCTCTCTTGTTGACGGGAAAAGTAGGAGAATGGTTGAAAGCCGTTTGGCTGAACCTGTGATTGTATAAAACCTCTTCCTGAGTCGTCTGGACGTTCAGTTCTGAGCCGGATGCTGCAGTCACCTGTCCAAGAGACATGAGCGTCCTCTGAAGGTCGAAGGTCTTCTCCTCTGAAGGTGAGTCGTGTTTCTCGCAGAAACATTTTCTTACATTTAATTATTTCTGAACGTTCATTTGTTTGCAGTGTCTCACCATGGCTTCGTTTGGGGCTCTGCTGATGGTGTTGCCCGTGGCGCTCACGTGCGCTCCACAAAAAGCAGGTGACGGCTCTGTGGTTGAAGACCGATCAACCAACACGTTTATTTTTCTATGTAAAGGACGAGTTGCCAAACTCGGCACTCAAGCTGTTTCTAGATAAGGACAAAGTTTGGATCAGCTATAAGCTAATCCTTTTAGCCTAAAAACACAAAAAACTGTTTGCTTGTGAACTTCAGCTGTTCTAAGTTTTGACAGTAAAACCTAAAAAAAGGCCTTAAATGGGATTAACTCGACTAGTTATGTCTCAAAATAAAACACATTTGTTTTCGTAAAGACCTTTAAAGGGACAGGTGCTCGAACTTAAAAAATATGAATACAGAAGAAACTTTCAAAAACATATTACCACAATATCCTGCACAAATGCAGTGTGAATGCTTATCGCTGAATAACTTGCTGAAAAACAGCGAACATTAGCTTAAAACATGCTAAAATGTAGCTGAAATGAAACAACAAGCCTAAGAAGGAAGCAGAAAGAGCACATATTTGCTGAATTTGATTTAAATAAGCAGAAATTAGTACACAATTAATAAATTAGCTAAAAAAGCTGAAATTATCAAAACAAAAAAAATCAGCTGAAAAGTAGCTAAAATGGCAGATAGAAGCTTCAACTACCAGAAGGAATTAGAGAGAGCACATTTTTGCTGAATTAGGATGAAACAAGCTAAAACAAATACAAAAAATGTAGAATTAGCTGAAAAAGCTAAACTTAGCATAAGCAGCTAAATAGTAGCTGAAATATCAGAAAAAGCTGAAACTTGCAGATATCAGCTGAAAGGAGCATAACAAGCTAAAATTAGCAGAAAGAAGATAGAAGAAGCTCAAAAATATTGTAGTTAGCAGAAAGAAGCTGAAAGGAGCACAAAACAGCTGAAAAATTTAAATTTGCAGAAGGAAGCTTAAAGAAGATGAACCAGAACAAAATGTGAAAGGAGCAGTTAAACGTTGTAAACCGATAAAAAGATTTGAAGGATGTAAAATGAGTTGAATTAATTTTCTTACAGACCAAAAATGTCAGAAAAGGCTAAATGTTTCAAAAAGCTAAAGTTGCACCAATACCAAAAATCATAGCACCCTTCTCCTGCACGAGTTGAGTGTTTTGATTTATGATTTGTTGAAAAGCTGAAAAATTGCTGAACGAGAAAGATACCAAAGAACGAACGGAATAGATAAAGTCGGAATAATAATAAATATAAACAGTACCACAATAGTGTGAATGCTTAATAAGCATTCACACTATTATAAAATTGAAAATAAGAAAAATTATATAGAACTCCTTTTTTGGGGGTGTTTTGTTTTTTAGGGTTAGGGTTAGGAAAGTTACGCACAATCCAAAAAACGGTCATGATTTCGTCCACACAATGTAAAAAACATGTTGCAAGCAAAATAAAATCTCCTTAAGAACAAAACACGTTTCCAAAAAGCATTAAAACTAGCATGCAGACTTAAAATGACACACAGTTCCGTTATTTTGGGACATTTTTATTTTTGCGTCTACCTCCAGATTACGTAGTGGTGTCATGTTTTCCCAACGCCATCATTGCCAACGTCCCAGAGTGCCCATACGGCTGGGAAATCGAGCAGCTGTCCCTGGGGGGAGTGTGCTACACAGGAATTCACAGTCCGGGTTATTATCGCTTCATTATCCCAGACCTGACACCCAGAAACCACTCGTACTGCGGCACACAATCTGAGGTGAGACCAAGCAGAAGCAGATGTTTGGATCGTGCAACCAGTTTGGCACCATTCAAGATGTTTTATTTAGCTTTTTTTTTGCAGTACATGCCAGGCAAAGACCCGAAGTACATCTTCTATAACTCCATTGTGTCCAACGATACGTCCCTGACCGTCAGAAACCAGCCGGTCAACTACACCTTCAGCTGCATGTACCGAGCCGCCTACCTGGTAAATAACGCCGTCTTCAGCCAGAGGTAGGCACTGCCTCAGGACACGAGCCCACCACAACTACTGCGTGGACCATTTGTGCATGCTGACACAATGGCTTGCAGTGTTTTTACTAAACCCTCTGCTTTTTCTAGAGTCGCTACGGTTTATGTGAACAATGGGAGCTTAGGCACTTTTAGGTCACAGTTATCTATGAACGTGTTCACGGTGAGTTGCTGCTCGCAGATTCAGTTTCTCCAGTGGAAGAGACTCAATGGTTGTCACAGCAATTCATGCCTTTAAGCACTTATTTAGTGTTGGACGATTGGCTGTCCCATAAAAAGCTTTAAAAAGTCTGCGCATCTTGTAGAACTCCAAGTTCCTGTACGCTAAAGACGCTCCCTATGTGATCGACACATCGGAGATCGGCTCTGAAGTTTTTATCGGCATCGAGGCTAAAGGTCTAAGTAACAGGTATATCACAGGTTTTTATTTTCATTTATTTTGTACATTTTACACTGATATTTAACCATTTTTAGACACCAAACTAAGATTTTCTTCACCTGTTAGGTTTAAAGTTGTGATAAACAACTGCTGGGCCACTCCCACTCCGTACTCAACAGATAGGAAGAGGTGGAGTCTCATTATGAACAGGTGGGATGTTTACTTTATTATAATCCACTTTTTACAGCTGCCGCTGAAAAATCAGGCTGAGTATGTGTGTGTTTGTCTGACGTGTTAGCAAAATATCTCAGAAAACAGAACAAATGTTAGTAAAACCCAGAAAGTATATCTAGTGAACTTTTGGAGTCAACTCGATACAAGATGGCCACCACAGCTAAATGATCTTAGCAAACCCAAAAAGTGGCTTTAACTCATCCAATTTGTCTGATATTGTGTTTTCATTCTGTCTTTGTGTTTCTTCTGTGCCACTCCTCATTCAGCTAGTCTGCTTTAGCTCCGCCCACTCTCACCTGTGCAATGCATCATCTAGCTCAGGGCTATTAAATGAAACTGCTCAAGGGGCCACAGTTATTGAAAGCAAAGATCTCAGAGCACAGAGACCAGACGTCCAGCAGTTATTTTCATTAAATTAGGTTGTTTTATGATTAAAATCGAGTTTTATTTAAAAATGAACCCATCGGTGGCCCACACTGAGCACACCTGTGGGCCTCATTTGGCCCCCGGGCCACCAGTTGAATAGCCCTGATCTAGCCCAGGTGTCTCCACATCCTCATCAGCCCCTGTCCATTTGTTCTGTCGGTTCTCACTCATGCTTCAGTTGAGCATTATGGGCCTTCATGCCATGTCCATGCCTCCTCCATGATTTACTCCTCGAGTGTTTTGTAAACTTGGTACTGCCTCGTCAGCTTTTTCTTTTCTATTAGTAAAGTGACGTTTTTTGTTATTCATTCGAGCTCCTTGTGTCAGTCCGTCGTTTTAACCTGATATAATTTAAAAAAATCAAGGTTTGACCAAAACTCCATTTCGCAACTCAACACGAAACTCTGGCGTGAAAGGCAGCGGGCGATATGCATTTCACCCGCTTTGCGTTTTGTCGCAGCGTTTTTGTTTTTGACTTGTTTTTGTTCAAACAGCTGCTCTGCTGACAACACCGTGACCATTTTCGACAACGCCAAAGACAGCCGCTCCACGTTCAAGTTCAACTCTTTCCGCTTCCAGCGGCTGGAGAAGGTTTCCACCGTGTGGCTTCACTGTGAGGTCCAGATCTGTGACGGGGAGAGACTCGTCTGTCAGCCCGTGAGCGCACCGTTAAACGTGCCACATTTACGTGCACACTCATATATAATGAGCAGACATTAGACCTAACCCTAACCCCAACCCTAACATGAGGAAAATCAGAAATATAAAAAAAAAAAAAAAAATTCTGGATTTTTAACCCTGTTTTGGAACCTGTTGTGATTAATTAAAACAAACATGTTTGTAATCAGACGAGTTTTATGTTCAACAAATAATTTTACAGCAAGACTCGTACCGGTTTATCTGTCTCATTTGAAGCTGCCACAAGAGCAACACGTTCTTAAAATTGAGTTGTAGTTTTATTTTGCAGCTGCAGGATTCAACAGCGTTTTTTAATTGTACTAATTAAAAATTATTTTTATGTCCCTAAACATTTAAGACTTTAAAAGTTAGGAAATTAAAACTCAAATTCAAATTAATTCCTCTTTTTTATTAGTAAAGTAGCATTTCCCAAAACGTAACCTTCACATTTTATGTGTCACAGCCCAAACTAACTTTTATCTTCTTGTTTTTGAAATGAGAGAATGAATCTTTACCAACACACGACAAACCTCATCTCAAACAGTCTGTATTGTTGTACATGCGATTCTGACGTTTTACATTTTCAGTACTTTAAAAACATGTCTGCATATTTCAGAATTAAACTTTAATAGATTGATTGTATTCCCTGAAGAGTCCCTGCACTGTGAGATCTCTGTCGTCAGAGGTTAACCCGACTGGAGGGATCCTTTCCGCTGAGTTTCAGGTTAAAGGTACCGCACAACATTTTTCCAGTTTATTTTATCCTGAGGCAACACTCTGATAGTTTTATATGACAGATTGATTTCCTTTGTTGATCCTTCAACAGGCAGCAGCTCTTCAAATAACGGACACACTGCAGGTAAACAATAAAATGGAAAATGTTCTTCTTTCGTCTGTTCCCTCTTCCGGGAGTCATCCTCCTCCATCTTCCTCTGTCCTCACTCCAACCACGTCCATGTCCTCTGTAAATGCATCCAAATATCTCCAAATTTCTAAAACATTTGAATTTAATCCCATTTCAGGAACCTCACTGTTCATGCTGCTTCTGGTCCTGATGGACACGTGCTGGGGTTTAGCAAATGGAGCAAGAATGTAGAGAAATGTTATTTTATAAACAAACAGGGGGGAAGTGTTGCCCAAGACTCAGGAAGCACATGGGAACATTCCTCCCCCTCTTTTAATGTCTAAAAAACACAGTTTGTGTGTATTTAGTGTATTCATTAAGGCTTTTAAAACTGTACTTTATACTTCAATAAAAATGTTTGGAAAAAGTTGTCCCTCTTTTATTTTTGGGCAAAAAAAAAAAAAAACCACTCAGGAGCAGCAAATTTTAACATTTGTCATTAATATTTAACACCAGCTTTAAAAAAGAGGGTGCACACTTTAGTGTCATAATGCTTTTATTAAATAGCACATTATTGCAAGTTTAGAGGTATTTATGCCTTTTATCTGACAGAAAACAAAAAAAATCACTTTTATCTTGTTCAAGACTCGTGCCATGTGCTGAAGGGCTGAAACGGACGAAATCAAGAATAAACAGAAATAAACGAGTTGCTCCAAAGTCATTAAAACTGCCAGCAAATGCAACAAACAAGACAACAGATATTTCAGGATATTATTGATCCATAAAGTGTGAAAAAAATACTTTTATTGAAATTAAAGTCTTTTAAAAAATTTTTTTAAACCTGTGAGTATTTGATTTGCTTTACAATTTTTATTCATGTTTAGTTTTTTATCATTACTGTATATGTTTTAAAGGAAAGTTAAAATTGTTTTTATTGTGTTATTTTAATTTAAACAAATTTTAATTCCCATATTTTTTGGCCTATAAGTCACTTTTTTGTTGTTGTTGCCTAATTTGCATGCCCTGCGACTTACACAATGAAGCGACTTATTTATAGAATTTTCCCATTTTGGCACACCACCGGCCCACATTTCCGGTTTGTTGGCGGTGACGCATAATAGATGCGACTCATATGGTGAAGCTATGTATTTATGGATTTTCCCACTTTATTAGACATTTTTGAACTGATGCGACTTATAGGGCAGTGCAACGTGTATGGCAGAAAATACGGTATTATAATTTTTGTTATTTTTAAGATGCTGTATATTTAATTCTCTATTATTCTTTCATTTTTAACTTTCCCATTTGTTGGCGTATTAATTTCTCTGGAGATTGATGTATTTATTTCTGCATGTATTTTTGATTTGATCAGTTTTAGGCGTGTTTCTTTTTAAAGTTTGTGCTGTTTTTGTTTCACAGTGAATTTAAAATAAGAGCCTTTGTGGTTTTGTTGATGATTAAGAAACGTGTGCTTGTAGGTTTTTAAAAAGTGGAATGGGTAACGTTTAAAGTCAAAATGATGAGGTTAAACAGCATTACTTAGAAAGTTTAAGCTTTCTCTTTGATTCTTCTGGCTTGTAAATTTGTGTCATAAAAACCTCACTCAGCGACAGAAGTCTAAAATCCTCTCAGTGATGGCATCATTACATAAAAACCTATTGCAGGTGTAAAAATACATTGGAAATTATTTTGCCTTTGCTTGACAGAACAAAAAGACTGAACAAAATGAACAGCAGCTCTAAAAAATCTGCAGTGAATCCAAAGAGTTGTATCAAAATCACAAATAATAAAATAACCTTTAGCTTCTTTATCAACGAGCACACATCGTGTCAAAATACCAGGCTCTGTTTGCTCCTTGTAAAGTCAAAGTCTGGCATTTCCACTCCAGTTGATCCAGTTTTCGTCCTCCTCAAGGTCGCCTGTTTCCTTTCTTTTATATTTTATTTTTTAAACGTTCACTTTAGTCATCGTTGATTTAGGCTGGAAGATTTGGGACCTTATGTCTGCCGCTCTGGTCACTCCAAGTTTCTTTTTGCAGAGACAAAACAAAAACAGATCAGAAGACAACACGGGTTTATGTTCAGTCCAGCAGACGGCGTGATGATGACGGTGTGATGATGGCGGTGTGATGATGACGGTGCGATAATGGCGGTGTGATGATGACGGTATGATGATGACGGTGTGATGATGACGGTGTGATGATGACGTGTGATGATGACGGTGTGATGATGACGGTGTGATGATGACGGTGTGATGA